AATAAATAAATAACTTTTTACCTAAATAGGATGTCTATTGTTTCCTCATCCGCAATTTAAACCACCCACTGAAGCTCACATATGAAAGGCTGAACACGTCTCACCTCCTGATAAAAAAAACAAAGCCGTTGTTACCTCTCTATTTTTTTTATATATTTTAAAAAAATTAAAAAATAAATAAATAACTTTTTACCTAAATAGGATGTCTATTGTTTCCTCATCCGCAATTTAAACCACCCACTGAAGCTCACATATGAAAGGCTGAACACGTCTCACCTCCTGATAAAAAAACAAAGCCGTTGTTGTTGCCTTGTCATTTTGTAATTAGTTGGCAAATATTTTGGCTTATTTTGACAATTAGGAAAAAAATTAATTTATTAATTTATTTAGATTATTATTTTTTATATATTTAAAAAAAATAAAATAGCTCTAAATAAGCACAAAAAGATCAAATAAATTAATTAAGTCAATAAAATAAGATATCATATCAAAATTATAATTATAATTATTTTATTTTTTCTCTTACGAATATCACATATAAACCTAAGTTAAAAATTCTTTTCAAATAGAATTAATTTAACCAGATTAATTAATTAAAAAAATCAAAGAATCAGAGTAAATTAACTTTCCCAAACGAATAGTCATTTTCTCAAGAGAAGGGTTTGAATTTTTTTTTTTTTTTTTACATATAAGGCATATTCGAGGATTTGGCAATTCAATTCAATTTTTTTTTTGGGGGGTCTAGATTAGAAGTCTTCATTAAAAGTTATAATAATATTCACGAAATATAAAAAATATTAGAATTTAAAAAAAAAAATCGTTTAGTAAAAAATATATGTCAAGAAAATTACCACCATGAAAATTAAGTAATATAGTAAAGGGCTATTTACACACAAGTTTTGTTTTGACAATTAGTGGTAGTTTAGGTCCTACTCACAAAACTTTAAACTTATAAGTCTTATGTTAATTTTATATGACCAATTTACTCTTACAAATTAAAAACCCCGAACATTTTGTTTCCCACACTCTCTCAGACTCTCTCTCTCTCTTACCATTTCGTTCCTCTCCCCTCTCTCTATCTATAATTCTTTTAACTCTTTCACTTCGTATATGAATCACTAGTAGCATATCCATAAAAGCAAAGCACTCATGGTAGCAACCTCACTTCTACTTGTCAACTCTCCTCTCTTAGCCCCCTCATCTCCCTCACTTGGTCTCCAAACAACGATATTTTCTTCACAAACCCAATTCTCAGCTCGATCCCAATCCAAACCCAGAATTAGACCCATTCGCCTATCCATCGTTGGATCTCAGATCGATGATTTTCGGAGGAAGAAAGACATAGTCATCGTTGCCCATCGCTTCTCGCCATCGTAGTTGCCCACTGCTCATTGTCGCCGATGCCGCCTCTCACCGTTGTAACCCATTCATGTCTATCTAGAACCAAATCTGGACATTTTCAGATTTGGAAAGTGTAAAAAAAGAAGGATGAAGGTGGAGGTAAGAAACGGAGAGAGAGAGAGAGAGTGAGTGAGTGATTGACGATATTCTCAATTTTAACCTTGAAAAAATAGAGAAATTTTTCAAAACGTCAGTATGTTTGGTTTGAGTTTTTTGAATTAAGTTTTTTGAAAATTAAGTTTTTTGGTTTTCGTGTTTTTTTTGTTTTTAGTGAATATTTTTTAAATTTTAAACATTTTTTTTCTTTTTAGATGCACCTTACTTAGATGTATCTAAAAAGTAAAAAATTTGTGAAAAAATATTTTAAAAAATTAATAAATACATAAAAATACAAAAAATGTACTGAATTCTCTTTTCTTTTCTTTTTTTGTATTTTGGGTATTTAGTGAATTTTTAAAAGATTTTCTTCACAATTTTTTTACTTTTTAGATACATTTAAGTTAGGTATGCCTAAAAATAAAAATAAAAAAGTGCTTAAAATATTTTAAAAAATCAGTAAAAACAAAAAAAAAAACACGAAAAATAAGAAAGTAGAATTTTCTGAAAAGTGTTTTTTGAAAAGTGAAACCAAGCATAGTATAATATTCTCAGTTAGTACTGAAAAAATTGAGAAATTTCTTAGTTTTGGTAATTATAAATTGAAATCATTTTTAGTTTTAAAATTGAGAACATTCACAATTTGCAAAATTGAGAACATCTCAGACCTCAATTTCAAAACTGAGAACATCTCAAATCTTACTACAGACCAGATCTTAAATCCAACATTCTTAATTTTGATATTTGATTTTGTTACGTTGCTTCAGAGTTTATTAAGTGATCATCATTCAACTTACAAATTGACGTGATCTATCAAAAAGGTAGGAACGTTAATTGCAATTCAAAATGGGAGTTGTGCGTTCAAAAACTTTTACACAAGACTTAAGTTACCACGCATGCTGTTATTAGAACTTTTAAGTAATTAATCCTATAGTGAATAAATTATAAAATACTATTGGATACATAACCCTCCTTTGATATGAAAAGTTGGAAGAGTTTTTTTTTTGGTTAAAATAGTTATAAAAAGACAAAATAAATTAAAAGTTAATAAGATAAAATGTCATATTTAAATCATAATTATTTTACTTTTTTTCTCACAAAAGTTTAAAAAAGTTTAAAAAAACCCAATCCAAACGAGATTTTTTTAGCTCCAGATTAAAATAATTAAAAAATTAAAAAGTCAAAAAACTAACTCACTTTCCAAAATGAAACCACAAACATGACTACGTAACATTTTGGATTCATGTGATAATTTCTATTGAGTCTGAATCAGTGTGTTTGGTTTTAATTTTTACATTCAATTTTTTAGATAGTGAGTTTTTTATTTTTCATTAGTAAATATTTTTAAAATTTTAATAATTTTTTTACTTTTTTAGATGCATGTTACTTAGATATATCTAAAATTATAATATTTATAAAAAAATATTTTAAAATTTTAATAAATACACAAGAATATGAAAAATATATTGAATTTTCATATTTTGTATGTATTTTTGGTATTTAATGAATTTTGTAAAGATTTTTTTTATAAATATTATACTTTTTAAGTGTATTTATATTAGATATATCTAAAAATTTTAAAAATTACTTAGAATATAAAAAAAATTAAGTGAAAACAAAAAAAATACGAAAAATAAAAAAAATTAATTTTCTGAAAAGTGAATATTAAAAATCCAAATCAAATAAGTTGATTGTGATTTTTTTTATAAATATTTTTTTGACAAATTAAGTCTAAAAAAATGTGTTTATTTTACACTCAAAAAACTAACGACAAAGACCACATTTGAGACATGTTATTTTAGTAATTTTTCTTTATGAATAAATATGCAAAAAAAATAGAAATAATAATATGATAATTTATAATATTTTTTTACCTTTTGGCTAATGTTTAGTCCCCTGAGAAATAAAATAAAAAAAGTTATGAATCCATTCAATTTTTGACAATTCCAGAAAAATGGCATTAATAGAAAATAACTATAAAATGATGAATGTATAATTAATCGAAAATAACTATAAAATGATGAATGTATAAGTAATTTACTTTTAAATTGTACAAAATAAAAAAAATCATCACTTGAATTTTTCACTATGCTTGGTTATTATTTTTTAAAAATATTTTTCAGAAAATTCTACATTCTTATTTTCTATGTTTATTTGTTTTTACTGAATTTTTTTAATATTTTGAGCAATTTTTTTAATTTTTAGACATACCTAACATAAATATATCTAAAAAGTAAAAAAAAAAATTGAAAAAACCTTTTAAAAATTCACTCAATACTAAAAATATAAAAAAAAAAATACGAGAATTCAGTACATTTTTATATTTTTATGTATTTATTAATTTTTAAAAATATTTTTTTACAAATTTTTTACTTTTTAGATAAATCTAAGTAAGGTGCATCTAAAAAAGTAAAAAAAAATGTTTAAAATTTTAAAAATATTCACTAAAAAAAACACGAAAATCGAAAAACTCAATTTTCAAAAAACTCAAACCAAACACACTTGCTATCATTTTTTTTTTTGTAATTTCTTTTTATGATAAATTACATTGACACCCTTTGAGGTTTGGTCCAATTATTACTCACCCTTGACATTTTAGAAATTATATTCTCACCCTTGTGGTTAATAGTTTCATCTCACAAACCCCTCTGATTATATAAAAGGTAACAACTCCTAGTAGAAAAACAGAGAAAATTACATTAAAAAAAAAGTAAATGAAAGCGAAAAAAAAAAGAGAAAGCAAAGCAAAGCAAAAAAATAGATAGTGCATGAGTTCAATATTTTAATTTCATCTAAATAATTACAATGATAAGGATTGGTGTAATTTCCTAAACGTTAAAGAATGATATGTATTAAACCCAAACCTCAGAGAGTGCGAGTGTAATTTACCCTTCTTTTTATCATGAATGTACGTAAAATTGTTTTTAGCAATATTTTTATTTTAAAAAATAGGATAAATTATAAATATACTTCTAAAATTTGCTTAAAATATAAATTATTTTTATAGTTTGAAAAATTATAAATGCTCTCCTGTTAAAAAATTTTATTTAAAAGAATTAATTAAAAACATAAAATTCATAATTACTTTTTAACCACTCTCATATATAATAATAAAATTATTTAAATTATTAATTTAAACATATTTTTAATATAATTAAAATTTTTAATTAATTTGATAATTTATTAATAAAAAAACTAATTATTATAAAACTTGAAAAATATATATATTTTAAATAAATATCAAAAAATAAATTTACAATTTACCCTTCCAGAGACAAAGGAATAAAATAAGAAATTATAATTATTATTTTAATTAAATCACAATAGTTTATTTGTAATTTATATTAAAAACTAAAATTAAAAAAGAAAATAAAATAAAAAACCATTAAAAAAATTGCAAAAAAGTTGTTTAGAAAAGGACCTGCAGGTATCTACCCGCAGATGTACGTAGAGATATGGATCAGATGCTACACGACTAGCCCATCACTACTACTAGTAGAGCTAGACCCAGACACACAGAGAGAAAGACAGAGAGAGTGAGAGAGAGCAGGTGCTTCTTCAACAATCAAAGTGCATGTCAACGTTTGGAGAGAGAAAGAAAAACCCAGATAGATATATATATATATTACACTTTATAGCTCCTACATTTGTCAGACTTTTCAAGGGACACTTTCAACAACAATACGCAGCGACACAGCCCAACACCAGAGAGAGAGAGAGAGTAGTCATTTATGAAGGTTTGCCGGTGAAAAATTAAATGACCATTAGCAAATAGTTCAGTCCTTTTGCCCCCCATATAGAGAGAGAAAAAGAGAGAGAGAGAGAGAAAAGGGTCAGAAAGTGCCAAAAATTCTATAACCGTAGACTTCACACGCGTCTCTCACCATCTTCTTTTTGATTCTCGCTTTGCTCAGACTTTTACCTCCTCTTAATTACAATCTTATCTTCCAAATCTCACGTCTTTATCATCATCTTTTTTTTCACTTCTCTCTTCACTGTCAACCCATCTTTGTACTTTCTTGATTTTCCGGCGAAGTCGCCGGTGATTCAATGTCGTCGACGGCGATGATCACGGCGGAGGGCAGCCGCTATCCTCCGCCTCTCGCCTCCCATGACGACGTCGTCAAAGACCCCACTCTTTTCTGGGACACTCTCCGTAACTTTCACTCTCAACTGGGTACCAAATATATGTAAGCCCTTCTTCCTCTTATGTTCTTTCATTATATACATACATACATATATATATATATATATATATATATATATGTATTCTAAGATAATGTATTTATTATGTTTATGGGTATGTGAGTTTTTTTATTTATTTTTTTTAATATTTTGAGTTGTGGTTGTTGAAAGGGTACCTGTGATTGGAGGGAAGGAGCTGAACTTACATGTTTTGTATGTAGAGGTGACCAACAGGGGTGGTTATGACAAGGTTCACAATCTAAAACTTTGTTCAAATCAAATGATAATGTTTTGTTTTTGTTATGTATGTATTTTTCTGAGAAAATGATGAATAGGTTGTGTCGGAGAAGAAATGGAGGGAAATAGGCTCAGTTTTCAAGTTTTCTGCAACAACCACAAGTGCTTCATATGCTTTGAGAAAACACTATTCTAGTCTTCTTCATCATTATGAACAGGTTTACTTCTTTAAGCTGCAAGGTCCCTTGATTTCCACATCTTCAGCAGGTATTGCAATTTTGTTTTTGTTTTTTTGTTTCTCTCATGGTCTCTTCTTGTACTTAATTTTATTTTGTTTCTGTTTTTTTCTGTTTTTGTTTGCATATTCTCTGTTGTTTTTTTTCATGTGGACCCTGAAATTGACCTATCTCATGAAATATTCCTTTAATATTATTTTATATTATAAGAGTGATTGTCCTAAATTTGTTCTTCCAATAGATTTTTGAATCATGTTCTACCACTAATTTGTTGATAGGAAATTGTAAGAGGGTGAAAACATGAGCCACCAATTTTGTTTTGATTTCTCTACCGCAAACGTTATGTTCAATTTCATCATGTATTAATGTTGATGTGTCAAGATTTTGTTTTAATATTTTTTTTTATTTATTTAGGTGATGTGAACATTTCAAGGTTAGGATTACATTAGACCCGCTTCTGCAGAGTAAATTCCGAATACTTCAAACAAAACACGAGACGTTTCCCGTGCATGTTGGGTACTTTTGGTTATTTGTCAATTATCTTTGCCCTTTTTAATGGGGTCCAGTATCTATCTCCTGGACAGACTTGTGGCTGCTGTTTATGCAATTTTTTGATTTCTTATGTCTTTTAAATTTTGTTTCTTAACTTCCTATAAATTTCAAATTATTCCCGAAAGTTGTTTTCTGGGAAATTTTTTGAAAACAACCCATCTTTCATCTCAAAATTTGTTTTAGCACAAACATGAAAACAATATGTGGGTGTTTGGGTAGTGCGTTTTTATGTAGGTTTTTTTAGTCGTAGAATATTATTGGAGAAATTTTTTTTGGTGTTTGGGAAGATAGTTGTGTTTTTTTGTGGTTGAATGTGATATTTGTGAGAGAAAAAGTAAAATGATTATGGGGTTGGATATGATATTTTGTTTGGATTTGTTTTTTTGGTTTTGCAAAAAGTTTTGTCTTTTAGTGAAAAAAATAATAAAAAAACCACCACACGAACTTCCCAAACACCACCACATGTAATGTTTTCAAATTTTCTAAAAGGAAATGATCCGTAGCTCGAATGCGTAGAGCTCGAATGACTCGAATGGTATGGAAAATATTATCTTACCAGTAAGAGAAAAAAAAAATCCTAAAACGACGTCGTTTTGGGATTTCGAGCCATTCGAGTCTTTGATATTTCGAGCTACGTAGCGGAATTGTTTTCTAAATTTGTGGATAATGAAAACAGAAAATGAAAATGAAGAAATGGAAAATACTATCAAACATATTTCTTCTCACTACGAAATTATCCTCGGAAACTGTAAAATTAAGTTAAAATTGTTTTCTGGAATAATATTACTTCTGGTGGAGTAAAAAAATATTGCTCAGGTCAGCTCTACAATACCATCAGATCTTATTTAACTTGATGCATAACAATGGCAGACCAGGCAGAGCCCAAAAGAATAGTTAGAAGCAAAAGACTGCCCAATCACCGCCTCCACTATCACCCCCACCACAACACCACAATCCTACCTCCACCACACACCACATTGCCGCCGCCACCACCACCACCCTACCTCAACCAGGCTACTACCACCACACTACTACTGTTGATGACTGAAGTAATTGAGACAAAGACTTGTTGAGTTGAACTGTTAATCATGGAGTGCAAATATAGCTAGTATTGTTTGTTTTTACATCAACAAAGCCTTTGCCTTCTAGATAGACATGACTAGTTGTATGGCACGCAAATTTCTTGTCATTCATAAACTTGTAAGAGTGTTAAGAGGGTTCATATTACCAGCTCGGGCAAACTATCGGGGTGTGTGATTAATCTTACAATCTAGGGTAAACTATCAGTTAATAATGCTGCTTCGATTATTCTGATTTTAGGAGCTTGTCTTATTCAATTTTTTTACAATTATTTTGATTTTTCCCATGTGTTAAACTTAATTGTGATTTCTCTTTTCCTTTTCCCCATGTTTTCCAGCTATTGGGACAATTGATGGGAAATTTGACTGTGGGTATTTGGTGTCTGTGAAAGTGGGTTCTGAGATTCTAAATGGAGTTCTCTACTATCCAGGCCAACCTGGCTCGTCTTCTATGTCAACTAGCCAACCTTGTACTGCCATCATTCCATACACTGCTAAGCATGCCCATTCAGGTCGGAGGAGCAGAAGAAGAAGGGGTGGTGATCCCAACCGCCCGAAACCCAATAGGAGCGGTTACAACTTCTTCTTTGCTGAAAAACATTCCATGCTCAAATCTCTCTACCCAGAAAGAGAGAGGGAATTCACCAAAATGATAGGTGAGTCGTGGACCAATCTCAGCCAAGAAGAGAGGACGGTAAGTACAATAAGCAATTTAACCTCTTTTTCATCGCATCACTATTATGGTATTGTCTAATGTTGTGGTGTTGTTTAATATATCTGTTTTTTTGGATAAGTATTTAATATATCGTAGTAAGTACTAAGGAGTACATATTGAACAGTTGAATGTTCATTAAGCACTCAAATCATGATTATTGTCTTCAGGAATTGTGTGGAAGAAGATAAATAGGTGATTTTACGCATATAAGATTGTATTGATGTGTACCTAGAGCATATGCTAGACATTTTGGATTTTATTGATTGGAAATTGATGTTGATTTTGTGCTTTATTTGAGAATTAGACAGAAGATATACCTAGAGGTTGTCTACTGATTACTTGCCTTTATTTGAAGTTCATTTTTGTATTCTTGCATAGAGGTGGGTATAAAAATGCTCATATTTGAGTGGTTATGTAAAACTCAGATTAGTTTGGAGAAAATGAAAGGTTGAAATTGTTTAGGCATTATTTTTGGTTGATTTAATGATAACTTTTAGCAGAGCACAGTATGACTCTTTTTCTTTGATCAGAGCAGAGCACAGTATGATTAAATAATGGGTAAAGGTGGAAATATATCAAGTGCACTTCTAGATTCTTATTAAAAGTTTGGATTCTCTCTCGAGGCTTACTTTTGTGAACTATTCATTTTGGAAGATTTGAGGGGTCTTAGGTTTTTGTGGGTCTCACACTTGCGTAAATGGGTTGAGTTTAATTCTGTGATCAGTTTAAAAAATGCTGTTAAAATGAAGGTGCAAAAGAGAACATGTTGGAGTTGATTGACGACTGACTTTGTTGTTTGTTACACAGGTTTATCAAAACCATGGGTTGAAGGACAAAGAAAGATACCAAAGAGAAATGAATGAATACAAAGAGAGAATAAAGCTCAGGCAACAAAAAGCCGAGGAAACAGCCGCTGGTGGTGGTGCTGGTGCTGGTGGCTATTATGCTCAAGCAGAATAGCCCAGCACAGAAGACTAAAGGAGCATAGCCTGATACACATGTTTTCTGTGTTGCAACGCATGTAAAATGTTTTTTATGAATCTGTTTGTGACTTCTAAAGTAACTTATCTTGAGCTATAGAAAGGTGATAAATACACATTTGGATACTTGCTCTTTGGGCAAATTATATATACCTCCTTCGAGATTTAGCTAAATTATAAATATCCCTCGAGGTTTTACAAATTACAGATACCTTCTTGAGGTTTATATTTTCGTAACAAATTGTCTCTTGGTGTTTATATTTTCATAACAAATTGTCCTTAAAATTGTTATGAAAATATAACTTTCAGAGGAATATTTGTAATTTTTTAAATCTCAGGGAGTATTTGTAATTTTGTTAAACTTCGAGAAGGTATATGTAATTTGCCCTTGCCCTTTTTTATTGGTTTAATGCTATTGATGGTTACTGTTTCAAGTATATGCCTCTTATACTGTAGCACTATTCAGGGTCAGCCCTGGGCTAAGGCTGGTGAGATCTGTGCTTAGGGTCTCAAAAATTAGGCTAAAAAAAAGGATTTCAAATTTAGTCTTATACTATATTAAAAACTTAAAATGGCTTAATTTTATTTAATTAATTTAGACCATTTTAAAGGGGGCCTCAAAAAATCTATTTGGTTCAATTGACAAAAGGTCTAATCAAAAAATATTTAGGGGGATTTATCAGTCGGTCTCATGCAAACAAATTAATATCCACTAAGTCTTGTCCTATTTTAGTTTCTAATTTTATCCCTGAATATCACAAAACACGCTTGAAGTAAACAACATATCACGTGATCTCCTCTGTGTGCGTAAAACACACGCTCCTTCCTAATTGTTCTGATTTGGAAACTATTATGAGGCGATTTGAAAACCATTCTGAGGCAATTTGCGATTTGGAAACCGAAAAAAACGAAGAGATTTTTCTTGAATCTCCCATCGTTTTCAAAGAAATCACTTCTGTTTCGATCTATATTTTGATTTCGAACAGATCCCGAGCAAATCCTCTACTATTTCGATCTATATTCCTTGTTTGATTTATCTTCAACAAACATGCGAATCAAACGTGAGTCGTATTCATCTTCCATTCTTCTTTTATAACTATAATTAAGTAATATTTAACTTCATAATAATCACATTTTCATGTTCAGTTGTTATACAATAATAAATTTGCTTATTTTGCCAAATTCAGTGAGAAATTTGCTATATGAATGATAGATTTGCTTAATTTTTTTAATTGAGTCATAAAATTTGTTATAATAATGGATTTGCTTCCCTTTTTCTTTCATAACTGTAATTAAGTTATAAAATTCAACTCAAACCTATTTTCTATGTGTATCGTACAGTATTAATTTATGATTAATATTCAATTTCATAATAATCATATCTCCAAGTTTATTTGTTATACAATGATGGATTTGTTTACTTTTGTTAATTCAGTGATAAAATTTAATATATAATAACAGATTTGCTTACTTTGTCCAATTCAGTGAGAAAAATTGCTATAAGAATGATAGATTTACTTAATTTTCCTAATTTAGTGATAAAATTTGTTATAATAATGGATTTGTTTCTCTTCTTATTTCATAACTATGGATTTGCTTCCATTCTTCTTTCATAACTATAATTGAGTAATAAAATTCGGCTTGAAACTATTTTCAATGTGTATCGTATAGTATTAATATATGAGTGATATTTAAATTTATAATAATCGCATCTTCATGTTCATTTGCTATACAATGATCAATTTGCTTACTTTTATTAATTCAGTGATAAAATTTGATATACACTAACAGATTTGCTTACTTTGCCTAATTCAGTGATAAAATTTGCTACAACAGTAATAGATTTGCTTAATTTTCCTAATTCATTGATAAAATTTGTTATAATGATAGATTTGCCTCCCTTCTTCTCTCATAACTATAATTGAGTGAAACAATTTGACTTGAAGTTATTTTGAATCTGTACTATACAATATTAATTTATGAGTGATATTCAACGTCATAATAATCATACTTTTACGTTCATTTGCTATACAATGATGCATTTTCATACTTTTGCTAATTTAGTGATAAAATTTGCTATGCAATTGTTTTCATCTGCATCATGATACTTCATGTACTTTTGCAATTTGGAATCTAAACTTTGCTATATAGTTAAATATTTGCTTAATTTGCATAATAGAGTGATACATTCTTCTTAGTTTGCCTAGTTCAGTGATAAAATTTTTCTTAATTTTCAATGTTCATGCTCAATGTTTTTGTACAGATGTTGCCAGTCATTGTAAAAGATCACGTCGTCGAGAAACAAGTTTCTCAAAGAAGAAAAAGATTAAAAAAGTTCAATTTCTTATACAGCCAACAACACATGAAAGTGAAAATCAACTAGAAGTTAAACCTGAATCTAACATTGACAATGAACAGTCCAAACAGGAACAACTGAAACAACCTACAAAGCTCCACAAAGCAAGAGGGAAGAAAAAGATTGATGGAAGAAAAACTAGAACTAAACAGATATATGATAATGAAGCAAAGTATGTCTACCGTTCTAACATTCAATCTCTTATCAAATTTTTCAAGACAACAAAACTCAAAGAAGAGCATTTGACACTATTGAGAAAGACACATTTTTCACTTCTGATTGATACATTGAGTGAAAACAAGGTTAAAATAACAGATTCAATTAAATATGATGATGTGGTTGCAAAAATTTTACAAACTTACCAAATGGATGGAACCACATTTGAAATTGCTGGGAAGAAGCTGAAATTAAAAAGAAATGACTTCAAATTAATTTTTGGGATTGCATATGGACAAAAGAAGATGAATTTTGTATATGGAAGAAAAAATGAGGTAGCTATGGTGCAAAGAAGGAAAATAACCGAGAGCAGAATGACAAGTGCTTCAATCCAAAAGTTGATAGCGAAACTTTTGAGAAGCAACAACAATGAAGATGTAGAAGATGCCGTTAGGCTTGTGTGCCTTCTGGTTTGTTTGCTTTTGTTGTATCCGGGTACTGGGACAACAATTGGTTGGGGGTTCATGAAATACCTCGAGAATATTGACGAAATGAAGTCTTATGATTGGTGTGGCGCAGCAAAACAACATTTTACAAGATCAATAACACATAACATCAACCAAATTGATAGATTGTGCGGATGTGTGATCATCTTATTGGTAAGTAAATACCTCACTTATAACTTATAAACTATAATATTTACATTTACCAAATACTAATTTATAACATTTTTTTTGTCCTCAACAGTATTTGATATGTGAGCATGCAAAGATCATCAAACCAAATAACAAGAACCCAATCCTAAGATTTGCAAGATGGAACATTACACATCTAGGAGAAAATTGGCAAAGTCATCCTTGCATGATTTAAAACATATTGAGGTATCCGTTGATGTCCTTTGTTTTGTTTAAACAAATATTACATTTTGTTATGCAGTGATAAATTTTAGCAAGACTGATAAATTCTTCTTAATCTTCATGGTGTCACATTTGTGGTATAAAAATTATTTAGGCATTTCATCTGTGCTAGGAAATTATTCAATAAACAAGTTTTATCAGTGTATAACCTTTATTTCTTTAATTGAATGATGAATTTTGCTATGCAGCAATAAATTTTGATATGGACTGATAATTTTTTGCTCACAGTTATAAATTTTCTTAGTAAGCTTCATTGAGTGATAAATTTTGCTTAATGTTACTAATTTACTGATAAAACTTGTTATCATGAAGTAAATCACTAGTCTTATTATACATGTGAATCACTGAATGATAAATTATTACTTAACTTTGCGTCATATCATTCTTTTTTAATAATTTTCATTCATGTAGAAGAGCAATTTGAAAGACACAATTGAAGAACAGAACATATACAAACAATTACAACCACAAACAGATGATGAGCATGAAGATGAAAAATGTAACTTTGAGGAACAAGAGGAGATTGAATTATCTGAAAAGGAAGAAGAACCAATTATCAGAAAGATATTCAGTCTCAGTCCAGGAAGAAATTCACCGAATTCCAAGCATCAAGCAGGTGCTCGAAAAAAGAGAAAATCAACAACATTGCAATAAAAAAAAGAATGCAAGAAGGAAACCAAACTTTCAACATGAAACTGAAGAAGGTTCAGATCATATGCAAAGAAATGAGCTTTCTTTTGACAACCTAGAAAATGATGAAGAAGAAACAATGATCAAACAGAAAGTTGGTCCAACAACTTCCCCGGGATTCAAGCATCAAACACCGGCCCAAAAGAGGAAAGCAAAAAGGAAACTTGTCTATGAAACAAATATCTACCATGTCAAAATTAATGAACATACCTTTCAGAAACTAGAAGAGAATGTCCTGATAATCAAAAGGCTAGAAATGGAGAAGGCAATAATCCAAGCAGAAAATAGTGAGCTTAAGGACCAATTCATGAAGCTCAGTAAACAAATGGAAAAACAGAGCAAGAAAGCAAAGACACAAATGAAAGTGAAAGATGTGGAAATAGTGCTACTTAATGAGAGAATTGCAATGTTGGTTGAATCAAATCTCTACCTGGACAATCAAGAAGAACAAATCGTAGTTGAGGTTGAAGCCATCACTCCCAAAACATCGCCTCTTGTGAGCTCAATGATAAAAAGGGTGAAAAATAGAGAAACAAGAAAAGAGCACAAAGATCCAGATTTTTGGTGCATAACGAAAAGACAACCAAAGCAGAACAAGACAGTTGATGAAGTAGAACCAATAGTTGAAGAAAGTGCAAAGACCAACAAAGAAGAGCATATACAACATCAACATCCAACAAAATAAATTGACACTTCCTATCCAGTGTTTCACAAATTGCCAAAGAAATCAATGATGAAACTCACTAGTCTTTGGGCAACAAAAATCAGCAGGTAAGAATATGATTTGGTCATAAAATTTCCAAATTTAGAATCTAAATTTTAGTATATAATCATGCATTTACCAATGTATAACTTTTGTTTACTTCATTCATTGATAAATTTTGATATACAGTGATACAATTTGCTACATAGTGATAAATTTTACTTAATTTGTTTGGTAGAGTGATATATTTTGCTAATCTTCATGGTGTCTCATCTATGGTATCAAATTATTTAGGCATTTGAGT